AATTCGTACAAATTTTTAGCCAGTTCTAGCCAAAAAATAAATCACATTTTGCTGTTATATTACGATTTCGATTATGGAAATAAAAGTAAGTTCATAAAATTTTTGTTTCATAACACATCACGGCTATACTTCTATTTATGTACATTTAAATCTCGACTAATTTTTCTACCCATTCACACAATCGTGTTAAAATAAAAAATGGCGAGGCCACGGGACCCCCACTTTATTATTATAAAAAATAATATTGCCGGAACAATATACAAATAAGAAAAATTTTTAAATAATATTTTTTAAATATTTCCAGCACCAGCATTTTCTTGAAAGCCAGACCCTCCAGATTCATTGAATACCAATTCTAATCGTACCCCCCCTACTGTATGCTGGTATGAACGTCCTGGGTTTGCAAGAATATTATCAAGATTAATTGGTGGATTATTCGTGCCGACTATTAAATGTTGACCTGTTCCTTTTCTTTGGTCTTGTCCAATTTTTTTTTGAATTGACCTATGATTATACAAAGCAACGAAAAATAAAAAAATAATATATACGAAAAAATAACTAGAGAATCATCCAACTTACAATGTTTTAGTGGATTCTCCACTTCTTAGTGTTCCGTCGTCAAAACGTTTATTATCTCCATCATGAACAGCGAGTTAAATGTCATCCAACCCCACTATGAAGTATTATTACTTAATCATGTTTTTACTAATAAAGTCAATATGAGAATTTATTTACCGAGTTTAACTGAAAGTTCTCCTTCCATTGCAGACATTTTTTTCGAAAAAATATACGTGCAAAAATAACGTTATTGTTTACTCACCTTAAAAGCTGGAACCGCTTATTTTTATACTATTCATTCGCTAGATCTAAAAAACCTGTTAAAAGAGAAATTACACGATTAGTAATTACGTTACCCTAACACAATCTAGATCCTGCTACATAAAGCAACTCCGCTCGGTCATAGGTTCCAAACACTGAACGCATTTTGCCCTTTTTCTGGTGAAATTAAACCCCTTAGATTCGACGATCACTTAAGGAAGGTTTAGATCTGACGATCTCGGGAGATGGCGGAGATTCGAAGTCCCTGTAACATATGAATTTGGACCAAACTACTGATAAAGAACATTATACTCATTACCCTTATAGCCTTTTTAAGTCCCATTCTTATCGCGGGATCTTATAAGGTAAGGAAAAAGTTCTAGAGCGCGTAGTTATTAACTGTTAATCAAAAATCGACCGTGAGAAATGATTCTACACATTCGAATTGATAAACCTGATGTTAAGTGATCGCGGACCCGTGGGACCGTTAAATCATATGATAGTATGACACATAATAAATACTAGCGACGTGTTATGTTAAAATAGTGCGCTGTTAAGCCACTGTTGAAGTGCTGTTGGCTTTTACATATATAAAATCGTTAAGCCACTGTACATGCAAAAGTTCCATGACCTTCGATTTTCTTCTTTGGTATGACATGTGATATGTTGATCGAACATCTGTGTTATGCAATCGATTTTATTACTACAGTAGAAATATCAGACATTTTCCGAGACTTTATTTTTTATTTTTTTAGTAAAATAGCGATATATCCACATGTATACAGCAGGCCCATAGGGCGACTCGAAGAGTCATAATTGTATTATTTTTATTAAATAAAGAAAAGTGATCGAGGATCTTTATCTTTCCTCTTCATTTATCGATTCCGTATGGAAGAGTGGTTGACTACCTATATCGTGCATAATGACATCACTTTCGTTTCGTGATAAGGATAAATTTAGCAAATCAGGTGTTAGATTACTGCCGGAGACAGCTACTTCGTGGTTAGAACTGTCTTGGCTCTGATTATTATTTTGTGCTTCATCTGTGGCCCGTGAGTAAGGTGGTGGTTGAGGAGATAATGTTTCAATTGGAGGCGGTGGGACGCTAATATTTTGCTCAGAATTTCTCATACCAGGGTTGTTTATATTAGTGTTATTACGGGGTGAAGCGGGATATGGTGAATGTCTTTGACTCCTTCTACTAATAATAGATGGAGACCGATTTAGTCGTCTAACGGAGGATCTCGTACTCAATGCATGCTCAACTTCCTCAATAGATGGTGTTGGTGTTGTATTTCCCACAT